GGGCAGGGTGATGGAAAGCGGGAGAATGGGGCAGGGTGATGGAAAGCCGGAGAAAGGGGCGAGGTGATGGAAAGTGGTAGAATGGGGCGGTGATGGAAAGCGGAGAATGGGGCGGGGTGATGGAAGGAGGGAGAATGGGGACGGGTGATAGAAAGCGGAGAATGGGGCGGGTTGATGGAATCGGGAGAATGAGGCGGGGTGATGGAAAGCGGGAGAATGGGGCGGGTGATGGAAAGCGGAGAATGGGGCGGGGTGATGGAAAGCGGGAAATGGGGCGGGGTGATGGAAAGCGGGAGAATGGGGTGGGGTGATGGAAAGCGGGAGAATGGGGCGGGGTGATGGAAAGCGGGAGATGGGGCGGGTTATGGAAAGCTAGAGAATGGGGCGGGGTGATGGAAAGCGGTGATTGGGCGGGTGATAGAAAGCGGGGAATGGGGCGAGGTGATGGAAGGAGGGAATGGGCGGGTGATGGAAGGGGGAGAATGGGGCAGGGCGATGGAAGGAGGGAGAATGGGCGGCTGATGGAAAGTGGGAGAATGGGGCTGGGTGATGGAAAGCGGGAGAATGGGGCGGGGTGATGGAAAGCGGGAGAATGGGGCGGGGTGATGGAAAGCGGGAGAATGAGGCGGGGTGATGGAAGGAGGGAGAATGGGGCGGGGTGATGGAAAGCGGAGAACGGGGCGGGGTGATGGAAAGCGGGAGAATGGGCGGGGTGATGGGAAGCGGGAGAATGGGGCAGGGTGATGGAAAGCGGGAGAATGGGGGGTGGTTGGAAAGCGGGAGAATGGGGTGGGGTGATGGAAAGCGGGAGAATGGGGCGGGGTGATGGAAAGCTGGAGAATGGGAGGGGTGATGGAAATCGGGAGAATGGGGCGGGTGATGGATAGCGGGAAAATGGGGCGGGGTGATAGAAAGCGGGAGAATGGGCGGGGTGATGGAAAGAGGGAGAATGGGGCGGGGTGATGGAATGCGGGAGAATGGGGCGGGGTGATGGAAAGCGGGAGAATGGGGCGGGGTGATGGAAAGAGGGAGAATGGGGGGGTGATGGAAAGAGGGAGAATGAGGCGAGGTGATGGAAAGAGGGAGAATGGGGCGGGGTGATGGAAAGAGGTAGAATGGGGCAGAGTGATGGAAAGCGAGAGAATGGGGCGGGGTGATGGAAAGCGAGAGAATGGGGTGGGGTGATGGAAAGCGGGAGAATGGGACGGGGTGATGGAAAGAGGGAGAATGGGGCCGGGTGATGGAAAGCGGGAGAATAGGGCGGGGTGATGGAAAGCGGGAGAATGGGGCGGGGTGATGGAAAACGGGGGAATGGGGCGGGGTGATGGAAAGCGGGAGAGATTCTGCTCAACTGCATCGACTGTGGGATGGGATGATGAGACTGGTGGTTGAAACCTGGTGATTGGTAATAAACGTGTTATTTCCAGGCGTCTCAAAGTAACTCCTTCATCACGTGGCTGGTGAGATGAAAGTAACTCTTTCATCAGATGGTGAGATGAAAGTTATTATTCGTCAGATGGTGAGATGAAAGTAACTCTTTGAACAGGTGGTGAGATGAAAGTAACTCTTCCATTAGATGGTGAGATGAAAGTAACTCTTTCGTCAGATAGTGAGATGAAAGTTATTATTCATCAGATGGTGAGATGAAAGTAACTCTTTCATCAGATGGTGAGATGAAAGTAACTCTTTCATCAGATGGTGAGATGAAAGTAACTCTTTCATCAGATGGTGAGATGGAAGTTATTATTCATCAGATGGTGAGATGAAAGTAACTCTTTCATCAGATGGTGAGATGAAAGTACCTCTTTCATCAGATGGTGAGATGAAGGTACCTCTGTCATCAGATGGTGAGATGAAAGTACCTCTGTCATCACGTGCCTGGTGTCCTCCGATCCGCAGTGAGTTTCCCTATCATCGCCAGTGTGGGGCACGGGCTCATTTTCCTCATGTACTTGCCCCCCTTCCCCCTCCTCCCTCTGCTGGTCAGGGCCAAGGCTTTCGACCTTGACCTGGTGGGCCTGGTGTCGTCAAGCCCTCAAGCCTTCAAGCCTTCAAGCCTTCAAGCCTTCAAGAATTCAAGCCTTCAAGCCCTCAAGCCCTCAAGCCCTCAAGCCCTCAAGCCCTCAAGCCCTCAAGCCCTCAAGCCCTCAAGCCCTCAAGCCCTCACGCCCTCACGCCCTCAAGCCTACAAGCCCTCAAGCCTTCAAGCTCTCAAGCCTTCAAGCCATCAAGCACTCAAGCCTTCAAGCCCTCAAGCCCTCAAGCCTTCAAGCCTTCAAGCCTCAAGCCCTCAAGCCTACAAGCCTTCAAGCCCTCAAGCCCTCAAGCCTTCAAGCCTTCAAGCCCTCAAGCCTTCAAGCCTTCAAGCCTTCAAGCCCTCAAGCCCTCAAGCCCTCAAGCCTTCAAGCCCTCAAGCCCTCAAGCCCTCAAGCCCTCAAGCCCTCAAGCCTTCAAGCCTTCAAGCCTTCAAGCCTTCAAGCCTTCACGCCCTCAAGCCCTCAAGCCTCAAGCCCTCAAGCCCTCAAGCCCTCAAGCCCTCAAGCCTTCAAGCCTTCAAGCCTTCAAGCCTTCAAGCCCTCAAGCCCTCAAGCCTTCAAGCCTTCAAGCCTTCAAGCCTTCAAGCCCTCAAGCCCTCAAGCCCTGAAGCCCTCAAGCATTCAAGCCTTCAAGCCTTCAAGCCTTCAAGCCCTCAACCCATCAAGCCTTCAAGCCCTCAAGCCCTCAAGCCCTCAAGCCCTCAAGCACTTAAGCACTCAAGCCTCAAGCCTTCAAGCCTTCAAGCCTTCAAGCCTTCAAGCCTTCAAGTCCTCAAGCCCTCAAGCCCTCAAGCCTTCAAGCCCTCAAGCCCTCAAGCCTTCAAGCCTTCAAGCCTTCAAGCCTTCAAGCCTTCAAGCCTTCACGCCCTCAAGCCCTCAAACCTTCAAGCCCTCAAGCCCTCAAGCCCTCAAGCCTTCAAGCCTTCAAGCCTTCAAGCCTTCAAGCCCTCAAGCCATCAAGCCTTCAAGCCCTCAAGCCCTCAAGCCCTAAAGCCCTCAAGCCCTTAAGCACTCAAGCCCTCAAGCCTTCAAGCCTTCAAGCCTTCAAGCCTTCAAGCCTTCAAGTCCTCAAGCCCTCAAGCCCTCAAGCCTTCAAGCCCTCAAGCCCTCAAGCCTTCAAGCCTTCAAGCCTTCAAGCCCTCAAGCCTCAAGCCCTCAAGCCTTCAAGCCCTCAAGCCCTCAAGCCCTCAAGCTTCAAGCCTTCAAGCCCTCAAGCCCTCAAGCCTCAAGCCCTCAAGCCCTCAAGCCTTCAAGCCCTCAAGCCTTCAAGCCTTCAAGCCCTCAAGGCCCCATTCTCCCGCTTTCCATCACCCCGCCCCATTCTCCCGCTTTCCATCACCCCGCTCCATTCTCCCGCTTTCCATCAACCCGCCCCATTCTCCCACTTTCTATCACCCCGCCCCATTCTCCCTCTTTCCTTCACCCCGCCCCATTCTCCCGCTTCCCATCACCCCGTCCCATTCTCCCTCTTCCCATCACCCCGCCCCATTCTCCCGCTTTTAATCACCCCACCCCATTCTCCTGCTTTTTATCATCCCGCCCCATTCTCCCGCTTTCCTTCACCCGCCCCATTCCCTGGCTTCCATCACCCTGCCCCATTCTCCCTCTTCCCATCACCCCGCCCCATTCTCCCGCTTTCCATCACCCCGCCCCATTCTCCCGCTTTCCATCACCCCGCCCCATTCTCCCTCTTTCCATCATCCCGGCCCATTCTCTCGCTTTCCATCACCCCGCCCCATTCTCCCTCTTTCCAACACCCCGCCTTATTCTCCCTCTTTCCATCACCCCGCCCCATTCACCCGCTTCCATCACCCCGCCCCATTCTCCTGCTTTCTATCACCCCGCTCCATTCTCCCGCTTTCCATCACCTCGCCCATTCTCCCGCTTTCCATTACCCCGCCCTATTCTCCCGCTTTCCATCAACCCGCCCATTCTCCTGCTTTCCATCACCCCGCCCCATTCTCCCGCTTTCCATCACCCCGCCCCATTCTCCCGCTTTCCATCACCCCGCCCCATTCTCCCTCTTTCCATCACCCCGCCCCATTCTCCCTCTTTCCTTCACCCCGCCCCATTCTCCCGCTTCCCATCACCCCGCCCCGTTCTCCCTCTTCCATCACCCCGCCCCATTCTCTCGCTTTCGATCACCCCGCCCATTCTCCCGCTTTCCATCACCCCGCCCTATTCTCCCGCTTTCCATCACCCCGCCCCATTCCCCCGCTTCCCATCACCCCGCCCATTCGCCCTCTCCCATCACCCCGCCTCATTCTCCCGCTTTCCATCACCCCGCCCCATTCTCCTGCTTTCCATCACCCCGCCCCATTCTCCCTCTTTCCATCACCCCACCCATTCTCCGCTTTCCATCACCCCGCCCCATTCTCCCTCTTTCCATCACCCCGCCCCATTCTCCCGCTTTCCATCACCCCGCCCCATTCTCCCGCTTTCCATCACCCCGCCCCATTCTCCCGCTTTCCATCACCCCGCCCCATTCTCCCGCTTTCCATCACCCCGCCCCATTCTCCCGCTTTCCATCACCCGCCCCATTCTCCCGCTTTCCATCACCCCGCCCCATTCTCCCACTTTCCATCACCCCGCCCCATTCTCCTGCTTTCATCACCCCGCCCCATTCTCCCTCTTTCCATCACCCCACCCCATTCTCCTGCTTTCCATCACCCGCCCCATTCTCCCTCTTTCCATCACCCGCCCCATTCTCCCGCTTTCCATCACCCGCCCCATTCTCCCGCTTTCCATCACCCCGCCCCATTCTCCCGCTTTCCATCACCCCGCCCCATTCTCCTCTTTCCATCACCCCGCCCCATTCTCCCGCTTTCCATCACCCCGCCCCATTCTCCCGCTTTCCATCACCCCGCCCCATTTCCCGCTTTCCATCACCCCGCCCCATTCTCCCGCTTTCCATCACCCGCCCCATTCTCCCGCTTTCCATCACCCCGCCCCATTCTCCCGCTTTCCATCACCCCGCCCCATTCTCCCGCTTTCCATCACCCGCCCCATTCTCCCGCTTTCCATCACCCCGCCCCATTCTCCCGCTTCCATCACCCCGCCCCATTCTCCCCTTTCCATCACCCGCCCCATTCTCCTGCTTTCCATCACCCCGCCCCATTCTCCCGCTTTCCATCACCCCACCCATTCTCCCGCTTTCCATCACCCCGCCCCATTCTCCCCTTTCCATCACCCCGCCCCATTCTCCCGCTTTCCATCACCCCGCCCCATTCTCCCGCTTTCCATCACCGCCCCATTCTCCCGCTTTCCATCACCCCGCCCCATTCTCCCGCTTTCCATCACCCCGCCCCATTCTCCCGCTTTCCATCACCCCGCCCCATTCTCCCGCTTTCCATCACCCCGCCCCATTCTCCCGCTTTCCATCACCCCGCCCCATTCTCCCGCTTTCCATCACCCCCCCATTCTCCCGCTTTCCATCACCCGCCCCATTCTCCCGCTTTCCATCACCCCGCCCCATTCTCCCGCTTTCCATCACCCCGCCCATTCTCCGCTTTCCATCACCCCGCCCTTTCTCCCGCTTTCCATCACCCCGCCCATTCTCCGCTTTCCATCACCCCGCCCCATTCTCCCTCCTTCCATCACCCCGCCCCATTCTCCCGCTTTCCATCACCCCGCCCCATTCTCCCGCTTTCCATCACCCGCCCCATTCTCCCGCTTTCCATCACCCGCCCCATTCTCCCGCTTTCCATCACCCCGCCCCATTCTCCGCTTTCCATCACCCCGCCCCATTCTCCGCTTTCCATCACCCCGCCCCATTCTCCCCTTTCCATCACCCCGCCCCATTCTCCCGCTTTCCATCACCCCGCCCCATTCTCCCGCTTTCCATCACCCGCCCCATTCTCCCGCTTTCCATCACCCGCCCCATTCTCCCGCTTTCCATCACCCCGCCCCATTCTCCCGCTTTCCATCACCCCGCCCATTCTCCCGCTTTCCATCACCCGCCCCATTCTCCCGCTTTCCATCACCCGCCCCATTCTCCCGCTCCATCACCCCGCCCCATTCTCCCGCTTTCCATCACCCCGCCCCATTCTCCGCTTTCCATCACCCCGCCCCATTCTCCCACTGTCCATCACCCCGCCCCATTCTCCCGCTTTCCATCACCCCGCCCCATTCTCCCGCTTTCCATCACCCCCCCATTCTCCGCTTTCCATCACCCCGCCCCATTCTCCCTCTTTCCATCACCCGCCCCATTCTCCCGCTTTCCATCACCCCGCCCCATTCTCCGCTTTCCATCACCCCGCCCCATTCTCCCGCTTTCCATCACCCCGCCCCATTCTCCCGCTTCCATCACCCGCCCCATTCTCCCGCTTTCCATCACCCGCCCCATTCTCCCGCTTTCCATCACCCCGCCCCATTCTCCGCTTTCCATCACCCCGCCCCATTCTCCCGCTTTCCATCACCCCGCCCCATTCTCCCTCTTTCCATCACCC